ATATGTGCTAGTTGTTCCCAATTCTAAGGGGCAGTGCTCATCTCAGTTTCAAAGCCGAAGAGCCAGCATTGTCTGAAGACATCTCCGTGGTCATGTGGCCAGCATTACTAAATGCCGAAGGCGCACGGAATGCTGTAATCTTCCACCAAAGGTGGTTCCTATTTTTCTGCTTACATTTTTACATGCTTTCGAACAGCTAGCTTGGCAGAACCTATGACATGTAACGGGGGCTTACTCTGTTACGCAGCACTAGGGATTTGAACCGCTGAACTGCCGACCTTTCTGATTGACAAGCTCATCCCTAGCCACTGAGCTACCTGATGATAAAATAGTAGTAGGTATATTAAAGTGACGTTACCAGCTTTCAATCTTTTTCAGCAGCCCACTGCCTCAGATGAAGGTAATTTTATATATTTTTATTCTTTGTGCTTGTCTTTATTTTTATTTGTTCTTCTTAATATAAATATTGGAATTATTTTACACAATAGATAATGAAAATAATACCAATTACCAATTAAAATGCATAAGCCTGTAACCTGTAATATTTTAACACATCCTCTAATCCTAATTACCACATTTAAGGCTGTGTATATTCCCAATTCTATATACATTTATAAGGAAATAATCAGAGGAGACTTTCATATTATAAACTCTAACAGATGAGACAATACCATCTGAGTAAAACTTAAGACTAAGACAGAGTTATCTATTTGACACCCATCCAGGTGTAAATACAGAAACAACCTTCTCAAAATCTCATATTTTAGCCATTTTATGATATGTCCTTTGTACTTCCTTATATCCTTTGTATTTCCTTAGGGCACAGCTGTAAATATTGAGAGAGAGAAAATGTTTAAAACACAGAACAGCTTACCAGTTCTAAATATGGATTTGTCACTGGGAAAACTACATCCTGCATAATTTACGGCCATGACCCATACGCTATAGCAGTGACCAGGTTCCAGATCCTCCAAAATGCAGTTGCTCTCTTTCACAATGACACGATATTCTTCAACAAAGCCTACAGGAAATAAAAGTAACATGTACACATGCAAGAAGCCATGGAAATGTGCAAATGTTCACTTCAACAGTAAGTGAAACATTTGACCAAACAAGAGTGGATTGGCAGAAAAGTTCTACATAGCAGTTGGAAAGGGAAGAAATGAACATGGGTCATATAACAAAGTGTCTCTCCATCCCCTTGATGGGTTTTTTTAAATGCTCTTCTTTTGGAAACAACACAAAGAAAAGAATTTAGACTCACTTATGTTTGGATTGATTTAAATTCTCCATTGGATGGAGTTCAATGTGGGAACTGAGCTCCCCTTTTGCGGGGGGGGGGGGGGGGCTTTCCAAGGTCAGGATCCCACCAACCATAAAAACTAGTTAGGAACCAAACAATCCCATATCTCTGACATGATCTCTTTCTGAACCATCATATTTTTGCTAAATTTATTTTTATTGTATTTTCTTTGTAGTCTGTAAACATAATAGCAAAAAAGTGCAATTTCTACAAACAAATACAGGTAGTCCCCAACTTATGACCACAACTGAGGCCAATTTTTTTCTTGTTAAGTGAAACATGTTTTAAATGAACTTTGTTCCAATTTATTTTTGCTACCGTTATTAAGTGAATCACTGAAATTGATACATTGTAGCATGGCTGTTAAATTTATCTGACTTGCCCATTAACTTTGCTTGTCAGAAGTTTACAAAAGAGGATCACATGACCCTGGGAGACTGCAACCATCATAAATATGAACCACTAATCAAGCACCTGAATTTTGATCGCATGTCCATGGGGATGCTGCAACTGTTCTGCCTCTACAATATATACGGACGCAGACTTGGCTGTCTGCCACAACTAAGGAGGGAGATAAGCAACCCCTTGGCTGGTTGCCCAGAAAGCTATCTCTATGAAACAAGGCTTGAACTCACGAATCTTCTCCCAATCTTTCTCTACAGCTGGACCAGTAAATTGCTGTTTCCTGCAAAATTCTCTTCCCATCACCCACCTATAAGCTCTCCGAGTGGGGCCAATCAGTAGCCACCTGTTCCTATTTCCTTCTGTGAGCCTTTTTCCAAAGCTGCTCCCTCCTCCTCGCAGTCCTACGCATACATATGTCAGGGACAGCCTCCCTCTGTTCTTCCTCACTGCTCCCTGACTCAGACGTCACCTGGTGGCTAACAGGGCTCTCTAGTCCCTGCTCTGACTCCAAACACCCCCCAGAGTGTTCCTCAACCTCCAGGAGAATCCCATAGTGTTCATCGCTGTCAGATTCCACCAACAGCTCAGCCAGCCGCTGTTGGGTCACAACAGCAACTGCAGTAAGTGTGAAAAATGGTCATAAGTCATTTTTTCAGTGGTCTTCAGAGGTGGGTTTCTACCAGTTTGGACCGGTTCGGCTGAATAGGTAGTAACTTGGTGGCCTGGGTCACTGGAACCAGCAGCGACCCAGGGCTGCCACGTCCCCGAACTGGTTCTCCTATAGTGGTGCCATCTTGATTTTTGGTTCTGCACATGCACAGAACAATTTTCATTGCAGAAATGTATTTTTTCCCTTTTTTAATATTTTGTGCATGCACAGACATTTTTAGGTGCAAATGCACTAATGCTTCGCTCGCACGCACAGATAATTTTTTGCACACCAAACCAGCAATAATGCCAGCAGCAACCCACCCCTGGTGCTCTTGTAACTTCAAATGGTCGCCAAATAAATAGTTGTAAGTCAAGGATTACCTGTGCTCATTGATAATAACATAGAATAACTGAACTTATCAACAGCAGGCTACGTGAAAAAACAACTCCTCCTTAAACCTAGTAGCAGTAGAAATCCTGCTTAACAACAGTCTTAACTCTTCCTAGCGTGAAATTACTAACAAGCTGATTCCCTGAGGCAAAAAACCCAAATTCTTCACACAATGTCAAAGAACATTCAAGGTGGTTTAACTACACTTGATAACATTGTCATTATTGTTATTATTTTGCTTCTGTAAATTCTTCTTCCCCCACCCCCAATCCCCATTCAGGAACACTCACACACCACTTTGATCTTTGCTTCCTGGGGATTCCTCCATACAATAAACCTGGAAGAAATCTGCGAAATTGTCTTCATTCAGAGTCCAATAGACAGCAATCGAAGTGCTTGTAGCTGAGTTTGGATCCTGAGGCTGTAATTTTGGAGTATGTGGCACTAGGGGGAAAATGTAATCAGTTATAAGGATGTATGGTTCGGCCAAGTATAATTTTATTCTGTTTTTATAATCTTACATTTATTCTGACCTATCTTCATGTTTTTATGTTTTTTTTAAAAAAAAATCTGCATGGCATTTCACATACATTTGGTACATTCTTAGCTCTGTAACAGTGGTGGGATTCAAATTTTTTTTACTACTGGTTCTGTGGGCATGGAGTGGCTTGGTGGGTATGGCTTAGTGGGCATGGCAGGAGAAAGATACTGCAAAATCCCATTCCCTACCCACCAGTGGTGGGTTCCTATTGGTTCGGACTGGTTCGTCCGAAGTGGTAGTAGTTTGGCATCCTGGGTTGCTGGAACCAGCAGCAACCCAGGCCTGTCTTGCCCCTGAACCGGTTCTCCAGGCAGTGCTGTAGGCGCCACCATCTTATTTTTTGCTTCTGTGTATGCACAGAACAATTTTTATTGTACGCGAACACAGCACGCATCAAGCGCATGCATCACGCACTCGACTGAACCAGCAGTGGTGCCTGCCAGAACCCACCCCTGCTTCCCACTCCATTCCAGGGGAAGGATACTGTAAAATCCTCATTCCCTCACCACCCCACTAACCTGCTTTCCAGCTCTGTTTTCCTGTGCAGGGCAACAGAAGAAGACCCAGCCAATCAGCTGGGACTCAGGAGGCAGCAAAATAGGGGGGGGGCGGGAGGATATTGCAAAATCTCCATTCTCACCCTACTCTGGGGCCAGCCAGAGGTGGTATTTGCCAGTTCTCCGAACTAGTCAAAATTTCCGCTACCAGTTCGCCAGAACTGGTCAGAACTGGCTGAATACCACCTCTGCTCTGTAATCAAGGGGAACTTGAATCTCAAATTCTGCTTCCCAATCAAATAGAATGTTGAGTAATGCAAATTACGTAAATTCACAAACCGAACAAATCACTCACTTTCCAACTTTTTTCATTTTTCTAATATTGAGCAGAGTATGTACCAACAAGATTTTGGTACATTCATTATTATTCCTTTTTACTTTTTTATAGGAACATGGGATTGGCCTAAGACTTTTCACTGATTGAGACACAGAAAGCATCATTTTTTTCATCCCATATTTTGAAATCAGATGGAAAATGGTTGAAATGTATTTCTCCATTGGACTATTGCTCTTTATGGTACAGTAGTACCTGGTATTCATCATTAATTAAATTTTCATGTCAAAATGTGTTCAGCCCCAAATTCAATAAGTTTCAGAGCAGTTGAGTATCAATGTGTCACTATATCTGAAACAACACCCTAGTTTAGGAGATCTGGCCTAGCTGGGGATTAGAAGAGAGTAAAAGCTTGCCTTTACTAGCTTCTGTAGCCTGAGATCTAGTCACCCTCTGCCTAGTAGTGAGGCTGGGCCGGAATAAATAAAATTAAACAACCCAATTTTATACATCATCACTAGAGCTCAAGCTGTACAGTACAGTCACATAGTAGAAAATGCCTTCAGGGAAAAGAACAAAAGGATGTGTGTGGTGATTTCTAGTTTGGCCTTCAGAAAACATTTATGCTACAAATACACAATAAGGTTTAGAGTTGATAAAGCTGCCCGTCTGCCAAGGCACTCCCTAAAGACATGGGAATTTAGCTTAGTAATTATACTAGGAATACTTGGATACAAAATGCTACTATATTCAAATATTGATGCGTAATTTGTCTTGGAAACAAATAGAGAGCTAGCTATTTATGGAGAAATGACAACATCAGTATAACTTGCTAGCATTCTGAAGGAAACTAAAAGTGTAAAAAATGGAAATGTTCAAGGAATAGTTTAAAATGGTCACACCTCAACATTAAACTTCTTCATGCCACATTTTTTCCCCTCTCTTGGTAGATTTGTACTGGATGGAAGAAGATTTTCCCTACTCAGCCACTTTTTAAGTTACTTTCTGACACAATCATGAGGTTTTTTGGCAGAAAAAAACCTGCTGACACTAGCAGATTCCTTGTGATTAAAGCAAAGAGCTCCCTGACATTCATAATATGCTTCCTTCCCATTACTGAATACAAACTAGCTTATTTGTTTCCTGGAAATGCAGCAGCTACTTCAAAGGCAAGAGAATGGGAACATGATTAGGTGCCTCATAGAAAGCATTCCTGATTAGATTGTCTACTGTTTTCATGTTCAATACCAATTACAGGTAGGAAGTACTGTAAACCAATCAAGGTCCAGTACTGAAAAAAAGGACTGGCTCGAATGCCATTTCTCCAATGAAAACCCGTCCAGGTTTATTAGACAAATAATTTGGGGGGACAAGAGATATACAAGATATACATCCTCAAAGCCCTACAGCTTCAACCTTATACTGTCTACCATGGACCTCACCCCATTCTTAAGAGGTCTGTAAAGGGGGCGTGCATAAGCGCACCATTCCTGTCCTAGTGCCCCATTTATTTGTACTCATTTCCTTTGTTCATATCTATGTTTATACTTATACAGTATCTGTTATCTTGTACAAGTTTGAGAAACTAACTAACTAAATTAAAAATAAAAGTACTGTTACTCCCTCCCTGTAGAACAGGGTGTCATGCCCACCCCTGGTTTAGCGAAGGGGGGGGGGAGTTGCAAGACTTCACGTGACACCAACGTGTCATCACGAGTTTGCTACCCCTGCTGTAGAACATCTTGCCCAGAGGTGAGGCTGGACCTCACTATTCTGGCCTTCCAAAAGAATGTTTAAGACTATTGTGGGGACTCAAAAGTAGTGGGCGGTCCTGTGGAGGGTTGGTGCCTTGAAGATGCTCTCAGTACTTGTACATTGTTTGTAAGGATTTTTATGGTCTTTTTCACAGACCACTCAGAGTCACATATACAATGATTTGGATTTGGATTTATTGAACATTTATAGGCCGCCCTTTTCCCTGAGGGGACTCAGGGCGGCTTACAATCACAAAGGAAAGGGAGTGTAGGACAGTGCAAAAAGAAATGTGAACAAAAATAAATTAAACAATAAAACTCAACATTCACTCAACATTCGGGAGGGGCGAAAATAGGCTTAGCCCCAGACCTGACGGGCTAGCCAGTTCTTGAGGGCTGTGCGGAAGGCCTGGACGGTGGTGAGGGTACGAATCTCCACGGGGAGATTGTTCCATGAGATGGGCAGTGAATATATTTGATAAGCAAATAAAATTAAAAGCCAGTATTTTCTTCTTAGTGTTATTACACCCAGTGAGATTCCCTTCTTGGTCAGCCCTTCTGCAGCTATACTTTTAAAAACCTTAAATTACAAGTCACAGATCTGTTGCATTTAGTTGCCAATTCCATTGTCATTTGAACTGAAGAATTTTTTTAAAAAATCTACATATCGGCAAAGCAAAAGGAATATGTATAAGGCCTCCGCCACATGATGTATAGAAATATGTATAAGGCCTCCACGGTGGAGAGTCTTGATTTTTTAACTGTTCTCTATCGCTAACTTTGGGGGGGGGGATTTTTGGTTTTTGGTGGAGTGATTGGGTCAGCTTGGGAAATGTAAAAACTTTTCAATGGATGAATGTTCACATACCATGAAGGGTCATGTAATTCAGAACAAATTGGGGTGGGTGGGATGGGGAGATTAAAACTAATGTTACCCTCTTTACTGTTGACCGAGTTACACAACAACATTGATCCAAAAAAGTGTGCTGGGCAAGGCTGGCTAGAGGCTCTAATGAGTAATCTTTCTCTGTGGATGCACATGTTTCTGATCAATAATCAATAACTCTCTTCTCACTAGCACAACCAAACTGAATCACAGCAGCCTCTGTTGGGATTGCAATTCATTTTTTTCTTCCCCTCAAGTCTGTGGAGCACTGATGACGTTTAGATTCAAGCAAGAACAGAAGAGTGAAAATCTATAAGCAGGCAGCTCTATTAATGGAACTTTGGTTCTACAATGTTCCTTTTAATATTTAAGTGAAAATTGCTTGATTTTTTTCTTACCTGCATTATCCTATAGCTCTTACACTCCTGACTACATTTCTTTTTGTTTTTAAAAGAGGGGACAATTGCGTCTAGCCTCCTATATGGAGGTATCACATTAACCAAGACAAAAATGAGCTAATGGATTGAAGCCAGATTTTCTTTTAGGCATCATGGATAAACAGATTGAAAGAAATCATTTTATATATGACAATGCCGGCGACATGTTGATGTGCACAGAGGTGGAACGATGCACAAATTCTCACAAAGAAAAAGTGGATTGTGAAATTAATAGAACTGGCAGAGATGGCAAAACTGATTACTTTGATGAAAGATAAAAGTTTATCTTACTTTGTTACTAAATGGAGACCACTTTTGACTTTCTCGTTTGAGAAAGATGAAAATGTTTTGGTTTTAGAATCTGATAGTTACATATGTTAAGTTTATAAATATATTGTGTGATATATATATTATGTGATATATATATATATATATATATATATATATATATATATATATATATATATATATATATATATATATATATATATATATATATATATATATATATATATATCACATAATATATTGTATATTGTATAAGGTTTATGTTTAAATTTTGAATAAGCGATTATCATGCTGTACAGTTTTAAGGGGTTATTAAGTTTGTATGTTGTTTTAATTGAGAATGAAAGCTTCTTACTGTATATCATTTGTATCTGTATTGAAGAAAGTCAAGAATCAAATTTCTTTTCTGTTGTTGTTCACTTTCTAACTTTTCCACTTTTTGATCCCCCCTTCCTTTTTTACTCCTTTTTATCATTGTTATTTTGTTTTTTATCTTTCTTTGAAACTTTATAAAGTTATCTAATGATTAAAAAAAGAATCAGAAAGGAACTAGAATAATGTAATAGCAGAAATGCTAGAGACAGGATAACTTCCTATTTATTTAATTCCTCCTCAGCAGTGAATCTTACTGGGTTATGAGCCCAGAGATGAGGAACATTGTGCATCTGGGAATCTTACAAGCAATTTAATGTACCATCACTTAAACTCGGTCTCTTTGCACACTTTTTTTTTGAAGTTACATCACTAAATTACACTAAGCACTTTCACTAGATATACTACCAAGGGAGTGGAGCAGTGGTGGGTTCCGGCCACTACAGGTCAGTACGGCCATACCAGTAGTAGCAGGGAGCAGCTGACAGCGTACCGGTATGGTGGCTCATTTGGCCCACCCACCCACCCGCGGTCTCTCATGATGTATGCTAAAAGAGGTGGGATATGTTAGTTCAGCAATAGTTGCCCTCTCGATATTTTTGCCCTTCTGTGGATGGTCAATGATAAGAGACAATGGGAGTTTTAGTTTAATAACATCTGAAGGGCCACTGATTGCCTATTCTTGGACTGAACACTTATTTACAATTATGATTTCAATTTTTTGAAAACATCTCTTGCATGTCAATTTGGATTTTTTTTTTCTTTTTGAAGCATCTGGTAGTAAAAAATAAATTTTGTTAAATGAAATATCAAATGGAGTAGAAATGATTCGATTGAAAGAGGGGCAGTGGCATCAGAAGGGGAAGGATTAGCTTGTTCCTTCCTGGCAGCAGCCTTCTCCCACCTTGAAAAGGCCTTCCTCCTCATGTTCTTTTGCATATCAATTTGGGAGCACTTAAAAAAAATAGAAGTGAATTTGGTCTTTTCATCTAATGTGTCTTTATTCACATGGAGTCCATTATATAATGATTGATCCAGCTTCCCTTGTTAATATGAATAAAGAGCATGCTGTTCTTTCTCCAGCTTTCTTCCCCACCATAATCTAAATACTTAGGCACAATCAGCCTTTGCTTCAACCTCAGCTGATTACTAATTACATGCACAAGCTTGCAACTCCAGATTTCCTTTCCCAACACGTTCCTTTTTAAGGCATTGATATATTCTCAACACTCTCGTGGAATGGTTTGAAGGGCTTCTTACCAGGCATGAGTTGTAAAGTCCTGTCGTTATTTGTAAAGCCACCCGCACATGGTTCAAACTGTGAGAAAGCAGCAGGCATCTTTTCCAAAGTCACAATATTTTCCACAGTGGAAAGTAACCTACACAAATGAAAATATATACGTACACCTCTTTAGAAGCATTCTAAGAATATCCGGCTAACGGGGCCTACAATTTCCTAGATCAGGCCTGTACAAATGATGAGTCATCAGTCCAAACACTGCTTAATTAGCCATTTATAGCCACTCACTAGTAAATAGCACTCCATTTATTGCATGATGTTGGCACTCTTAAGAATAGCACGTGGCCCAGTAGGAAAGAAATCTCCAACCCAGCAACAAAGAAAAGATGAGATCTAAAGAAGCCTTGAGATTTAATACATGTCACATGCAAAAGCAAATTAGGTCTGTACTAATCCTGGTTCAGGTTTTTTTTAAGATATATATTTCCCCCTTTAAAACAGTGTTTCTCAATCTTAGCAATTTTACAATGTATGGACTTCAATTTCCAGAATTTCCAAGCCAGCATGAAGAGTTTGATAGGATTTTTAAACCATATTTTTAACCAATAAATAACAGCTTAGTTCACATAACATACCAAGCAAAACAAACAAACAAACAAACCATATTATGACTTAGGATAATGCATATAGCAAATTCTTACTTACTTGCTCAAATATTCATTGTTATTCACTTGAGATCTTGGTCTAGGTAAAGGCAGAGCTTGACTCTAGGGGATGGTGCTCATATCTATGTCTTAGTTGAGAAGACTAGTGTTGGCACTTCAGTGGTCATGTGACCAGTATGATTATATGCTAAAGCTTATGGAACACTGTTACTGCCCACCGAAGTGGTACCTATTTATCTACTCAAATGTGCATGCTTTGAGCTGCTAGTTTGGCAGGATCTGGGGCAATTAATGGAAGCTCATCCCATTGTGTAATGCTTAGTTCTTGAACACAGACTGCCAGCTTTCTAGCTGATAAGCTCAGCATTTTTAGCCACTGAGCCATTGCACAACAGAGACCACTAACCATAATTTCTTAGAAGTGTCCGGTTTGTCTAAGAAATGATGATTTGGCTTTACACAGTATATTTCAACCAATAGCTAAAACAATTCTGAGTACGCTTTTGAAAAGAATTGAGTCAGATTAAATTTAGAATATTTTAAGGAATCATTTCTCTCTTTCATTCCCATCAATGTTCCTGTGTTCCTATAATGCACTAGTCTAAATTGTAGGTAGTTGGTTTTAATCAATCCAACTTGGCTATTTCAGTGATTAAGTTTAAGTAAACCACAGTTAACTTGTTATGCAAATATAGTTAAATTATCTGGGGAATTCTGGGAGTTGAAGTCCAAGAACATCTGGGAAAATGCCTTCGACATTTTCAGGTATCAAAAAAGGACATATAACATTTACCTCCTCATTGCTATACTTTTTACCTACAACCTTCGCCTCTTTCCACAGCCTTTATGGCACTCACCCCTCACACCCAGCCCAGCCCAGCCCAGCCCAGCCCAGCTACAAGCAGTAAAAGCACAGGTGAATGGTAGAAATGTAGAACAGCTACTGTATATATTCCCAAAACCTTCTTTGAAAGGGAGGGACTAGGACCAGACCTAACTGTCCAGTTCTGAAGCACAAAGATGTTAAGGTCATAATGAAAAATACAGAGACTGAAAGAATAAAATTTTAAACTTTAAATATTTGTATATATGACAGAAAATAGGTTGAGCAAGGAGGAAATTTAACTGATGCCATAGTTGCCATATAAAGGAGCTAACAGCTCCTTGATATGGAGCTCATATCAAAAAAGGAGGTGGAAACAAAAGCAAACAGAATTGGAAGCTATTAACTCTTATGTACAGGCAGAAAAAAGGAAAACGTTTTTTTAACTCTAAGACAAGTATCAGAGAACCTGTTTATGCAAAATAATGGTGTGTCATCATTTAAAAGCAAAGAATTACTCTTGAAATAGGTCAACTGTAAACACTAAAGAATTTGCATTTCATGTAGACAACTAAAGGCTGAAGAGGAAAGTTGCAGTGAAGTTTTTACACAAACATACACATACACACAGGCCCAAAGATATATCTGCCATCATGCCTTTATTCTGGATACAGTAAGGTCGAGACGGTTGTTATCCTATTAATTGCAAGGTCAGATGGCATTATTGTAAATGTTTTAGAATGTAGCATATTTTTGGGATTATAAGACGCACTCCCCCCCCCCCACAAAAAAAATGTGGGTGGAAATGTCTGTGCATCTTATAGAACAAATATTGTGGCAGGGGGAGGGGGCTGGTGTGATGCCAATCAGCTGTTCTAGGTGGCGGAGATCATTGCTGCCACCACCTATTGCCACCGCTGCTGCGGTGATCACTGGTGATCAGGCCGCTGTAGCAGTATGGATCACAATTAATATTAAGGTGCAAAGAAAAATGTACACATCACAATTCTTATGTTGCTACATTATATAAAAAAATAAAGAAACAACAACCCCCTCCAGACCATACAGTGTCAAACTCAAAGGTCCGGGAACCAGATCCAGCCCATAGGGTGCTTAGACATGCAGGGCTGCCCTAGAAGCAGCAAAATATTGGCCCACGGTGGATCTGCCAGCAACAATGGAGCTTGGGAGGGCCACGTGCAGCCCTCCTGAGCTCCATTTTCCCTGGCAGAGAATTGCAGGAAGCCGTCGCAGCCAAAAATGAAACTCAGGACCTCTTTTCGCTGGCAGAGTGCTCGGGCCACCACAGGCATCCCCGACACAAGTGATGTTAAGCTGGCCACACCCACCCTGCTCGCACACCCCTCCCCAGCCCCCCTGAGGTCACATACAACCCTGATGTGGGCCTCAATGAAGTTGAGTTTGACACCCCTGGCTTAGAACAAAATGGGAAAACAATGCTGAGGAATGTATAATAATATATTTGAAGTGCAAAAGGACACTTGCTGTCTATTAAATATGGGCAGATTACTGCAAAATCTACCCCCTTTAGTATCTATGTTAATAGAAACGTATTTATCCATATATTTTTTTAAAAATGCAAGCAATTTCATAACATAATAACTTCTAACATAAGGAGACTGTATTCCCCTGATTTATGTCATTCTTAATGTAAGTTGGCCAAGACCTTACATGCTCAGTGTTAAGTGTTCTTTGCCATTTAAATCTTTTTGATGCTCTCTTTTCAAATGCAAATTTCACTATTTTAAAACTCCTTTTGAACAACACATTGCCTGATGGTTACATGCAATATTCAGTATGATACCTCTTTTTCCAGAAACCTTTTATAGGAGGAAGATGAATACTAATAGAGTTTGTTGAACTATGAAATCTTCTGTGAGCAGAACATCCAGATTTATTTCCAACAAGATCCATGAAACAATTCTTTTAAACCTCTATCGGTGAGGGATATTTTCTATTTCCTCCCCCTCCCACTATCCTATCTGAGTTGTTGAGGTTTTTTCTTTTAACTTTTTTTTTAAATTTCAAAAATCTGCAAGATTTCTTGGCTGAAAAGCAGCAATAAATCCAAAGAATTTGCATCTATAGCAGGAACAATTTTGGCATTTTTAGATCAACTTTCAGTTTTCTGGAAAGCATATGGGTTCCCAGATCTTTTGGAAAGTCATATAAAATAGTATTTTGATTAAAATTAATTGATGGGAGAGTCCTTGTGAAATTATCCTTAAGCAATATATAACTAATACCTAATTATTCTGATACAGGAATCAGAAATAAAAGGACAAATTCATACTTAATTGGAGTTGGAGTTTCCACTGGTCAAAATTTAATTATTTTAACAAACTAGCATTCAGAATCATTTTCATTAACATTTCATCTAATATAGTAATTAAATCAACAAAACCCGAATACTCATGAATATTGACATTTTGCAGAATACAACTGGAATTTTAAAATAGATTTTATATAACCTCAATAAATGCCCACTTTGAAATGCTCTGCAGATGCTATTGAAAAAGGAATGGAATTGTATCATACTAGTTTGTATTATACTAGTTGTATTATACAATGGAATTGTATATTAGTATTTAAAAGCTGAGTTATAAAATTCATGCTGAATATTTTCAACTCTTGACTATCACTGCCAAGCACACCATATTTTTTTTGTTCCATCGAGACATTTCTAAAATGAGATATTTATACTGGCAACATGCCTCCAACAGACCTTGACAGGATTAAAGTATTAAAACATGCTCATCCTAATTCTTTCCACAATGCATCAAAGCTACATTTCAAATACCTTTTATTTATTTCTTCAGATGACTAAAAGAGGGAAGAAAGGGATTAATTGATTCCTGTTATTCAACATACTGAATATAAAACATGCAAGATTTTGTTTACTGACATGCTCCACATGTATCAGAGCAGGATTTCCATTTTTTTAATAGAAATTTTGTATATCTGTACCAAACCCTAACCTCCAAATTTGCAAAACTGAAGGAGAAACAGTATCCTAGTAATTCATATAGGGACCTGAATTAAATAATCACTACTAGCAGCGGTTAAGCCTTGGCAAGCTTAAGTTAGAGTATTCTATATTAAGAAGATTCCACCCACACATCCTTCACCCTTTCATTTTATTTTACTTTTAATTATATACATTACAAGAACATAGATCTAGATGTTTCCAAACTGATGACTTCCAATTATGTTGGACTACATGTTGGTGGCTGGGAAAACTGGAGGTGTTTTCTTTTTAGATTCTTTTTTTTATCCCACTTTATTATTTTTATAAATAACTCAAAAGCAGCAAACATTCACTTCACAATCCTGTGAAGTGAGTTGGGCTGAAAGAGAGTGATTGACCTAAAGTCACCTGGTGGCTTTAAAACTCAGTTTCCTTAGACTGTTGCCTTAACTGCTGTCCCAAACTGCACTTTAGTTTTAATTTAGTTTAGTGTTTTTTTAATTTGGTTTTCTGCATTAGTTGTAGCTGAATGCCAAATTGGAGGAAACAGATCTTTCTTTGTCTGCAAAACAAGCTTGATACTTGAATGGCAACAATGGATAGAAGAATAATTTGAGGTCGTCGGTGGTTGTCTGAATTTTTGAAGCCTGATGAATAGAATAGAATAGAACAGAACAGAATAGAATGGAACAGCTTTATTTGGCCAAGTGTGATTAGCACACAGAGAATTTGTCCCCGGGACAGAAGCTCTCAGTGTACATACAAAACAACAAAGTAATAGTAAACATAATAATGATATCAATAAGAGAAGGAGTCGAAAAGAGGAGAAGCATAACAGCAATACAGCCATACTATATGGGTAAATATACTTAGACATAAGATAGTGCTGTGGGAATTAGGTGTTCAGTAGAGTAATGGCACGAGGGGAAAAAAACTGTCTTTGGTTGAGAGACCGCCTGCTGCCAATTACCTCCCAAAGACCCATTAGATCACACAGGGTCGGCCTCCTCCGGGTTCCGTCTACCAGCCAATGCCACCTGGCTACTACCCGGGGGAGGGCCTTCTCTGTGGCAGCTCCAGCCCTCTGGAACGAACTCCCCGCAGAGATTCAGACCTTCACCTCTCTCCAGGCCTTCCGAAAAGCCGTCAAAACCTGGCTTTGCCGGCAGGCCTGGGGTTGATGAGTTCCCCTCATGGTTGTGTGATTCTTGGCTATTTTAACTA